CATAGCATTACATTAAGATTCACCTTGGACATAGACGTCCATTATGAGGATGGGAGAGGAGGAAAAAAAGCCCCCAAGGGTCACGTGGAATGCGGCTAATGAAGACTCTAATCACATCTAATGGGGCGGAATGTAAGATTAATCTTCCCTTCCTTCCCCATAAGGCTCCCTATACTCTTCGATATCAGTGAGAAGATATGTGCAAAAAATTGTTGAGCCCAGATGACCAGGGTACCACTAGCAACGATCGCTACAAAAAAAGTCTTTTTTATTCAGCTTCTCTTATTTTCACGCGATATTCCCGCTCCCTATCCCATTGTGATGTCCATACACTATTTTATAGACACAATATATAAAAAGAGTACTGTATGTGAAAGCAGAATTTTCAATAGCTTTCGTACGAATTGAGAAATTCACAAAGAATGGTCAAATATTTGGGCGCGTCCTCGTTCCTTGCGCTTGGCTTCCTCGAATCAATCAATCCCTGGTCACAGGACAAGGAGGGTTGGGGATTGCAATAGGTTCATCTTTATAGTGAGGTCAGGGCTGTCTTTTACTTTCCATTTAATGAAGTAGTTCATAAAGTCGAGACCTCAAAGAGCTCTCCACAATCCAACATGCAAAACTTGCAAAAAAATATATCAATTAGGCAGCAAACAATTCTGAAGTATCCACAAAACGTTTCGCAAAATACTCCATTTGCTTACATTAGTTGCGGTTTATATTAAGCGCGGCTGATATCAAATATGAAGACTGGCTTTAACTGTATCAACATATAAAAGGGTTTTTAAGAGGATACAATGAGTTTGGACTTACAAATGTAGCCGGCCTAATCGAAGCTGATAAAATGGTCTTTCATCCCACGGACGGCCTTGGAGAAACCGGCTCTGAACTTTGGATTATGTTAATCGGCTTGGGGCAGATTCGCTTGTGTCCAACTTTCGTGTTCCCGAGTCAGTTTTCGGTAACTCTCTCAAGAGCGATGTGAAGGGAGACATCTCTAAAGCAGGGACATTATCGTACCACTTCGTGACGGTGTCCCCATGATGGGGCCTCAGTCAGTGGGTCAGGCCTCACAAGACTGGAAATTTTTACCTGTTCTTGGTGGCAGGATTTGTGTTGCCAACTAACGTATGCATGGGACCCGCTGTCAGCATCTTTACGTCATTACTCCCACGGACGAGATTCATGACCTACAGCTCCAGTAGATTCTTGCCGTGAATGACCAAGCAAAACCCGAGAGTAGCCCCATTTTCGGTGCTCATGGCCCATCGGAAAAAAAGGGTCAGCAAGGATGCCATTGGGTTGGAGCTTCTCCTGAAGTTGATGAAAGTGAATCCTACACAAAGCAAAACGTCTCCCCATGCATCAAAAGAGGAAATATAGGAGGATGAGGAAAGCAACAGCTGCCTTTTTCAGGCAAGAATGAGACCATAAAAAATATTTATAGTTTTTTTTTTTCCAGCCTGATTTCTATGCCGCGATCTGATATTGCTGAAATGAAATGATTCATTTTCTTTTGAATTCTAAGAGGTGTGCAAAATAAACAGTTGAACGCTCTGAGTAGTTAAATGGAATCGGCTGAATCCAATAAACTGCGGTAAGGAAATCGAGCGGAACCAAATTTCAAAGAGTCAGTTCTCTGATAAGTAAAAGGGACATGCAACATGATTCATTATTATTTGCTGTAGCAATAAATACGTGGAAAAAACTTACGGGAAGAATGCCAGCAATTTTGTAGGACAGGACAGGCAAAACGTTCCATCCCTTACCAGTAATCCAAAGCTCGACGAAAGACTGCGCCGCGTGCCCACATGCCTTAAAAAAAAAAGAAGTCAAGAGAGTGACGGTCAAGCATTTAAAGCCTATACGGCCACTCTACATGTCTGGGAAGTAGAGAAAAATGCTAGATTTTTACAGATAAAGTTGGAATTCTCCCTCCCACAACCGCCAAAGATCGGCAAAGGTGTTCAATTGGAAGCTAAGACTCGGTCGACCTTGACAGGTTCTTTCTTTCTTTCACCTTATGTGTGTACGTTTAGTGTTTTATTTTTACAGGAGGACAAAGGGGGCGGCACGGGACAAAGGGAGAAAGAGAGAGAAGACAACTCAATGCACGGATGGATTGCCTCCATTGCCTTACCGGCTTCCCCATTGCAATCTCTGCGATGACACACCTCAACGCCTTTCTCAATCCCCTCTTCTTTCTCTTCTCTGCCCTCCCCTTTCCTCCGACCCTCCCTCTCATCCGATTCTGCCTCATCATCTCCATGTGATAAGACATCGGCACGCTGGTTACGGTGGTGTCAAACAAAGAATCGTTCGTCGGGTGTGTCATCGAACCAGTTAAGTAGCTTGGAAAAATTTTTTTGAAAAATGCTTTATCAGCATCAATCTAGGAAACAAGTTCTCTTCTTATTCTGCATTGTAAAAAAGTACCTGTGGTACCTTCCTTGAGATTAGAAAAATCCTCTCTCACCACGTCCATCAGATAGAGTGATGACTCGTTGAAGATTCTCATCAGCGCGATGGACAATCAATCCCGATCAATGCTGTGACTCCGCGCTCACAATGAGTAGTCACAGTTTTCCGATTACGTCAAGGTGATCTCAGAAAGGGATGGCTTCTTTCTTTGCAGAGCCAGACAAATTCCTTGCTGCTCTTCTGGTGCTTTATGGAGTGTGATGAACTCCGCATCAAGGCTTCATGATATTCCTAAAAAATTTGAAGTGACGTCATCAACAGATATCCTTTTTGGCAGTTCTTTTGATGAGGCCTTATGTAAGGAAATCCCACTTACAAATCCATGGGCAACTCTGTAATCCCAGAACGGCTCAAAATCCAGGTTTATACGCTTTTAAAGGCTTTTTTTTAAGTGCAAGATCCACGAGTAATGCTAAAATGGAGTGCACATAAACCTACACAGAACAATAACGGAAACGGAAAAGTTAATATTTTCCATGGGCTCATTCGGGATACTTTTAATTTTAATTTTAAGTAGAGATTGCACACGGATTATTCCATTTGCTCTTAACTGCACGGGAAAGACTCACATCGCACAAAAACGTCAGCCAGATTCCCGTGACAGATGGTCCTGGGGAAATGCTGAGAAAAAGCTAGAAGGCAGGTGTCCTTTCGACGTCAGCATATGCAGACACATCGAGACATAGAGCATTGCTCTCAATGGATTTCACATGGACTTCTGGCCTTAAGCTCTTAATTCACATTGAGAGCCGAGTAATCAGGTCACCTTTCTGGCTGCACAGCAAGCTGCTAATCCTTTCCCCCTATATGGAACAGCACTGTCTTGGAAAGACGAAATTGTTTCCCCTATCTCCCATATTAAATGTGTTGCATGCTGGAAGCAATCTCAAAAGTTCTATTCTAACATCCTTTTAATTATTTCCAAAGTAGACAATTTGGAATTTGTGCCAAATAACTCCATCATTGTAGCCCATTCAAACTCACGCCAACGTGAAAGGTACTTGGGGGGCCCTTAAATGAAACAGAACACAAGTTTCGATAAATCTCCCTCGGAAATCCTGGCTCCCACAACAGATATCACTTGCTGAAGACGTATATGTCTTTATTTACAAATATTCATTTACATATATATTTATTTATATTCATAACATTGTGCATCTCCCCTCTGAACTTTGGATAATCTCTGAATGATATCTTGCTTTTTCTACATTTTTACGCAGAGTACCTGTAGCAGAAAAAAAAAAATTCCTACATTCACAGCTGCAATTACCATAGATTAAAAATTTTTTTTTTAACGATTTCTAAGCAACTCTGATATAGCCGCAAAGCGAGAATGCACCCCGTAAACAACCCCTGCAAGCGATAGTGGGCCCGCAAAACGCGTGAGGATTGCAGGTCAATGGATACACAAGAATGAGAAGCCATCCCGTCCCTGCATATTCGGGAAGATACCGAGCACGACGACGATAAACTATGGCATGAGCTAACGAGCTCACCCTCTGATTACAACGGCATGCATGCTGAACAGCACCCAGGACAAATAAATGGAGCCCCTACTGCACACCCGGACCAGTCCTTTTACAACCGGATGCTTGACCCTCATACCTCACCCTCTTCGCATCTCGACCGGGTATCATTATCAGTTCAACCGGCTTCAATTCCTTCCCTCGTAATAAGGGCGTAGTAGATCATGGATGAGAGCAGTGGGAGAAAGAGGAGAAACTGAAATCCCAATGCCTGCACCTTGCTCTTAGGGTACTCAAGAGCAATTTTTGGCGGTTACCACATTACAATATCATATTTACGAGCATGAACTCTACACAGACCCAGCAGTATGCGCAAGTTCCAAGTCACTCATGCCTTGCAGGGAAATGCTTGCATAGAGAAATGCGTGAACTGTTTTTAAAAAGAAAATATAAAAAAACTCAACCAAGTTAGAGTGCACTTACCTTCTGCAATCACATGAAATTTACGATTTACCTGGCAAGGCTAGCCTAGGAAACAAGGCCGTCTGGAATGGATCGGATGAGACGGAAACAGAGTTCCATAATGAAAAGTGATGGAACTTGTTCTTGCTGTGAGGTCCTTCATGATATCTCTTCGATCTAGAGCACATTCCGAGATCCTCTTTTTTGCTCCTTTCTTTTTTTTCGAAGGCGTCAAGGAAACCAGTCGAAGATCTGGTATCATATGCCATCCGGAGCAAGAGGAGAAAATGAGGAGGTTACAGGGCCGTTGACAGGAGCGTAGAGCAGGCTAGCTGAGCGAGTACGTTACCGCCAGATGAGCTGTAGTTACCGAACATTGGTTCCTGAGTTCACCTGCCCTGACCACGCCATTGGTCGACGCTAGTCTAAGCTCCGCCCGTTCCACTCCTCTGTCAGAGCGGCTCGGTGCAACAAGACTTCAATCACAGCACGGCATCCACGTGGTTTTACGGCGGGAGCTCTCCCTCTGACAGAAACACGTGGAAGCGAGTAAAGTGCGCGTGAACGAGTGGTCAGTGGTCATCCGTGATGGAGACCTGTGTCTTGATCCCCCAAGAGCTCTCTTTGGCTATCACGGATTCCCCTCGAGGCGTGGATAAAGGTCAAAGAGAAACCAGTGTCAGTGTGTTCAGCAATTGCAAAATTCCCAAAGGTACCAGAATCCTCCCTTTCCAAGGGACAATCCGCATCGACAAGTTGGATGTCTTCTCCTATCTCGACGATAATGACGTAAGCATTTATCCTTTTTTCCACCCGTGCTCTGAGCGCCCATAGAGCGCTCTTGCAGATTAATTCTGCTCGAAAGGAAGTGATTCACCATTCGGTGAATCACAAAGAGGAATCGTTCCAAGTACAGTACTCTGTAGTGGTTTTTCCGAAACGAGATCTTGGATCTTGTTCCGAAAGATGAACAAGATCCATCAGGATCTTGTTTCTAAGAAAATGAGAAGCATGTGACGAGTAAGTTAATGGCAGCGAAGTTCTCTCAGTGCAGTAAATTTCGCATTGGGTCCTTTGTCAGCATAACAAGTGACACTACATCTGGATTTGTTTTGATGCGATTAACTGCTGAAATTCTACTCATTTATCTCCAATCGCTAACGGCGACATGTCTCAGGTGAATTCCAAGTCACCCACAAGTTTTGGAAAATGATCATGACTAATACGTGCCCGTCTTTGATTCAGAAGTCCTGCGAAGTGAAGCTCACCTATACAAAGAGTCATGTATAGGTGAATTTCACCTATGCATCCTTCCTTTCCATCAATGCCTTGGTCACCCTGTTCTCTTTTTTTTTTTCCTTCCCCATACCTTTCCGCATCGCGTTCTTCATTTAATTACTCCCTCACAAGAAATAGTAATTGCCGGATATGAAGGATCAACCTTGTCAAATGCGGTGGATTCAGATTATAGGATGGATGTTTCATCCCTAAGACTCAATGACAATAATGACTTTTGAGAAATTCCACCAATATAAATTTCAAACTCCAGCGAACAAGTTAATCGGAGGGGGAGGAGAGAAGCCTGCAATTTTGTTCCACGCCAGCTGAAATTGACTTCATTGGAGTATATGACCAATGAGGTCAGTTCGAAAGCTCATCCCTCACTAGTTCCTTATCACAACCTGCTCTTACCATATTTGGCCAGTCTGGCAGGTGAAGCAGATCCAATCTCGAAGAAAGCGTCGCATAGTTTGCCATTAACTGGGATAGGAAACGTCAACTGGCCAGTATCATGATATAATCGTTCCAAACTAAAATTGACAGTCCCACCTCTTCGTATGGTGATGGATAAGGAAAATGAGGAGTCCCGAGCCAGATGACGTGCTATTTCCCTTCGAAAGACGTAAATGAGCTCTCCAGAATTTTGCCGTCAGGTGGTGTGTAATTTTATTCCAACTTTGATGGGATGATTGCCAAACTCCCCGTAGAAGCAAGTAGGTGGACAAGAATAACGGAGGAATCCCCAAGGAGAGCGAAACCTTGTGGCATCTGCTCGCTTATGGGGCGAAGAGCGGGGAAAAGGGGGAAGATGAGGGCATGATGAAGAGCAATTCGAGGTGCGAGAGCCCTTAAAAATCGGGCTTTCCCCCCTTTGTATGGGGGAGATTGCGTCAAGGGAAAACAAGTCCGTTTGTCACCGTCTTTACGATCACACCTTGTTTTACCACTCGGCAGGGTTTCCGCCAAACAACACATCACGGACAATACTGGCCTGTCCCGGGCCGTAATTCTGGAATGAGATCCCCCCGACCGAAGACCCCAATCTATTTACACGAAAACAAGGGGAACTGCAGAGTTCCTAAATGGCTTCTCGGGCCTGCCGAAGACAATTCGAAAGGAAAATTACAACCAGAAAACAGCAGGGTTTTATTGGATCGATTCCTTGTTTTTCGAGAGGCCGACCGCACGGCAGACGAGACGGAGCTTTATGGAGACAACACGCCGGGAGTTCATCCTGACTAAAATACAAAGAGAAGCATTCTCCCGTATAATATGGATGTTAAAAGATAAGAGGTGTTCCCTATGGCGGAGTCATGTCTCTTTTTACGAGAATCGTAACTGTCATGCGCGGTTGGTTTTCCATAAAGTCTCTCTGTTGGAGCCGTAAAAGTTGACCTGGGACATCATGACAAGCTGAGGAAATTTCATCAACGGCTTTTGTCTTTATGATCCCATAACGTTAAAACCACTTCCTCTTTACGACTACCTATTTTTTGGCATGCACCTATTACCGCGCAGAAGGTACCTCGGTTGCACAACTCTTTCACGGCACAGTAAACCTCGTCCCTCCACAAAAGGCGAGACAGAGATGCCTTTAGGAGTTATCTCACTTTCCCATCGAAATTTGAACTAAAATATCAGCGTGATTAAACAGACGCCGAGTGGACCCGATCATTGGAGTCCAATGACACGACGGCATCCCATTTAGCCACGCCGCAATTTTCTCGCCGACACAAAAGAGGACCCTCGGTCACAGGTGTTTTAAAATCCCCTATCCCGGCCATGACTTTCAGTTTCCAGCTTTTCTCTTTTTCATCGACTATATTTCAATGAAGAGCCGGGATGCTAACGGTGCCGGGCTCTTCCGGGATGGACTCGATTACGTCGTCACACAAACTTCATTGTTTGTATTCGCAAATGGAATGAGAGCGAGTATCATGATTCCGGTGATGGCATTTGTTTGGCCGTTGACCCGAGAACGGACATAGTTCTACTACTCCTTTTTTCCAGGTCAATGGAACAAAAACCTTCTTCTAATTAACGAGATATTCCTGCTCATTAGATATCATGGCCAGGGCTACGATCCGGGATCTAAGTGGACCATCTGACTCGGCTCTATGGGTGAAAAGAGGGGGTCTTTGAGCCAGTATTGTGCTCACGCCATGTGGCCCAATGGTTCACATGTCACTAAGTGGGCCGACCTCGTTGGACGTGGGAATCTCGCACCGACTTATCTCGACTTCAATGTCAACACGATCAAGACCTCGTTACCCGTTCGACCCAGTACTATTCTTCCTATGGTACTGGATGTTCTTCCTCGTTAAAAAGAGGAAATGGCAATTATTGAGTACCCTCTTTTCTCTCGGTGGCTGGCGCCCTTTCATGTTTAGAATAATATCTAGCCCTTCGCCGAACCTGCACGGCCAGCTGTCTACGAGGAGACGATAGGCAGTCTATACCAAGACCAGACGAGGAGCCCATGATATCAGACCTACAAATCTGGAGTCTCCGGTAGCCAGGGAGCCTCAGATGTTAGGCTAATTGGTAGAAGGGGAAACCTTTTTTCTATAGGCAAACACCCTCCGGTAGATCACAACAACCCTCGCCACGGGAAAAAAAAAAAAAAGAGGAAAGAGAAAGGAGAACTGGTGTGTGTGTATATATGAGTGGAGATTACAGGGCAGACCCGGGTATATACCGGAAGCCTTATGCCCGGGGCCTTCATACCGTCACACATAGGCAATTAACTGAGATTCAAAATGCTGGGGTCATTTTGCGAAAAGGGCCTGCACTGCATACCAATGCAATCGGCCTGGGAACCGGGCTCTCCCTCTCTTCTTTTCTTCATCCTCTCACTCTAAATGAGATGAATGTGCGGGCATGGGGATTCATACATCAAGGGACGTTGGCGTAATAGGGCACATACAGTTGCAGTACCCATGATGGGGACAGCAATTGTCCTAAATGGGATGCTGCATATGGAACAGGGGGCTCACAGGCGTGCGTAGAAGAAGAGGACCTAGCCTCGGGTTCTCGCTCTTTTTTCTCACCTGAATCCCCCGCCACCCTTGATTATGGCTTGCCCCTTACCATTTTACGTCCCTCATCCCTCAAGGGGTTTCCTTGAAATTTTCTCTCATGGAACGAGATGGGCCGAGCTCCAACGTGCCGGGCATATCGCACTGCCCCTGTCTCGGCGTAAACACCGCATCCTAATATGTAAGGAAGCGGAAGAGGAAGGGAAAGTGGAGTCCGCAGGAGATCGGCGGGGGGGGGGGGGGGGGGGGCCCAACACGTATCATGATACTGGCCAGTTGACGTTTCCTATCCCAGTTAATGGCAAACTATGCGACGCTTTCTTCGAGATTGGATCTGCTTCACCTGCCAGACTGGCCAAATGGGGGGGGGACTCAACACGTGATGAGACATTGACAGGCGCAGCTGGAGAGGCTGTCGGTCAAAAGTGCCAAAAACCTCATCTACCCTCTTCCTAACTTCCTAGTTCTACGTAGTTTATTTTATTTTATTTAACAACCTCTATCCTTCATTCCAATTTATCGAGCAGTAAAGCAGAGCTTTCAAATAGCAGGATCACCTCCAGTTAAACCAAACGCACAGGAGTGAGAGTACTGTGAGAGTACTGCGACAGTACTGGTCCCTTAGAAGTAGCTACGGGGAATGAGCATGTTCCTGGGCTCAGGCTGAGTTCACAACAGGCAGAGAATTAATGGGTGCTAATTGAATGGATGGGGAAAGCAGGCGGGGAGAAGGGATGAGAATCCATTCATCGGGAGGTGACTTAATTGCGTGTTCCACCAATTTGTTCGACTGGAATCATAATGAGACGGGTGATTGGTTTTTCGCGCTATCCCCGCCGGTGGGAATATGGGGAAACAAAGACGAGCCGACCCTCGGTAGTCCCTCCTGAGCTTTCTGGCACGACTGGAAACAAAGCTTATGATTAGAAACTGTTTTAACAAATGATGCGCCTTGCCTGGCTGCCGCCACTCCTGCCCAGAAGGCATGAGGGGAACATACTGTTCACGCATATACACTACACGCTTTTTTTTCTTTTTGTTCATCTCTCATGGTTTATCTGCCTCCCGGCTGGGTCTGACCCCGTTGCACGGTTGGTAATTATACCTACCAGGAGTCCTGGCCGGGGTGCTCTATCCTTGATTTTCATAAAACCTTTTTACCGGCCTCCCTTTTCCTCCCTTTCTGATAAGCCGGCAGGTCATTTATTATCTCACAGAGCTTCGCAATCAAATCGTATTTATCAAGTGTGCCATACTCTTTGCCCGCTAGGACATGAATCGATTTAATAGAGCAGTGACACCTCGAGGACTTCTCGTTTCAGAGCTGAATTTTTCTTCTTTTTTTTTCCTTTTTATCCCGTCGAGCCCTTTCTATCATCTCCTGACCTGTTATCTCCAGGTGCTCTCATTCCATTAAGCTTTCAATGAATGCACCATTCGTGATCTGCATGCGGAACCGCATTACCTCTTTTGTGCTGCTCAAGGTAGGCCCCAGCCCGAAGACTCAAATTTCCCCCGCTTTTATCCCCTTCAGGTCCGGCACCGGTTCGGGCTGTACGATGAGATCACTCTGACAGGAAGATGCCGAGTAAGGCACTGCAACTGGGTGAGATTCGTCAAAGTCAGCCCTACCTTTCACGCATCTGTGAATGTCCTGGGAGCCAGGCACAGAGGTGAGTCCCTATGTGCATTCATATGCAACACACGTAACTTCAATTTGGCAACAAAAAAAAAAAACAAAAAGAACCGGAATAGCAGTTTCCCAAATGCTAAAAATAGGGAGACGGATTGATTGATTGATAGGTCGAACGTAGGAGCCAGAGAAAGGAACGAGGATATAGAGAAAGCCTTGATATTTAGCTAAGATATCCCCGAAAAGGGCATGCTGAAGACAGAGATAAACCCGTTGAATATAAAAGTTCCATTCAAAGATTCGGTCATTTATCTAGAACGAGACGAGGTCCTCGAATGGGTCAGAAGAGCGGCGCCCATCAAAGCTTCAAGACTGACCGGCATCTTGGCCCCCATTGTTCGCCTTTTTTTCTGGACCTGCCCTCCCCATAACACCATATTGTACGGAAACCCCTGTAAATCAATATAGGGAGTATTGTTCTGTTAGCCTCGATGACAAATCCCCCCGTCGTGACATGTGACTGCCTCTGCGATGAAAAATATGGATGGCCAGTGGCGGTCTACCGATCTGGATGCGGCCTCTCCATACCGGGCAGATTGACGATATGGGTTTCCTCTTAACTCCGCCCTTGACAGGACAGTACTCCTTTGAGGACGCTCTAAGGGCAGTCGCATGGGGCATTGTGTACTTCAAGTTGTAAATTCAGCGGCGGCCTTCTTCCAAAGGACTGCTACGAACAGAATATTAAAACTTCCTCACATTTCCTCCGTCTCTGGAGGGAGAATGCCACGTGTCGCAATGTGGAATGTCAGACGTCTCCCTGTCGAATGCCTTTCATACCAGCCCCTGTATGGAATAGCAGTTCGCCTGCAACAAAAGGAAAAACCAATGACTTTTCGAATTTCATTATAGAACCATATGAACCCTTTATTCCCCCTCTGGCATCATGAAGGAATTCTTTTTATTCTGTACTTGCAGGAGAGCCGGTCTACGAGGTGATAAAACCCATACCATCTGACACAGAGCTCATCGTCTATTTCCTTCCCGAGAGACCCGAAGACTTTCTCGTACCTGCCTTCCACTTTTTCAGGGCGACCCTCTACAGGAGGACCATGGGTTCAATCCTGGAAGGTATACATCACAGCCTTAAAATAGCACAATTTTCTTAAGCGGCAATTTCAACAGACAGAATGCTGAATCATTCTCTCTCCCTTATGTGTCCAAAATAGAGAGTCCACTGGACCTGTCAATGTCCTTATTATCACGAGGACACGGTCCGGGATCAAGCGGAAGCGAATCATCGGACGAAGGACGGTCAGTGTCAGGGGACTCGGCCGTCAGTAGTCCATCGGCAGACCTTGAAGGTCCTCTCAAGAACCCAGTTCTGAGCCCTCAGGCCATTCCTACACCTCTGGCTGTGGGGCCCATCATTAATACCCCAAGCATAATAAGGAAACCGCGAGAGAGAACCATGCTGCCTTGCGAAGTGTGTGGCAAGGCTTTCGACAGGCCTTCCCTCCTCAAGAGACACATGAGGACCCATACAGGTCAGGATCACCATATGTCGAACGAAATATTAAATGTATGCTTCTTGGCGTTACGCAATTGAAATAAATATCATTTATCTATCGTCCTTTCCAGGAGAGAAGCCTCACGTATGTGATGTCTGTGGTAAAGGGTTCAGCACATCCAGTTCCCTCAATACTCACAGAAGAATCCATTCAGGAGAAAAACCTCATCAATGTCAAGTTTGCGGCAAGCGATTCACTGCGTCTTCTAACCTCTATTATCATCGAATGACCCACATCAAAGTGAGTTTAAAGTTCGACAGTGACAATTAGGCTATATCTATGGAGACAGAGAGCCACAGTCCATTTTAGGGCTGATGTATGGTGCTCGTTTGAGCTGGGTCTCCCTTTCCGAAAATGCAAATGATGGCGGTGAATTGGAGGGACTCGCGGGTGAAACAATTTGCCCAGGGAACTTAGACGTCGGGGCTAAGATTGATCCGGAAGCAGAGAAGACTGATTGTTTTGGAGAGCCAGAGGGCAGTGTCTCTCCTTCCTCTTTAAGGACTTGCAAACCGAAGTCGAATCGAAGAGAGCAGAAGTATAGTAGCTTTTTACCTTCGAGGGCAGCAGTGACCTAAACGAAGCTTCGATGGTGTGATGAGCTGTGGAAATGTTTTTGCCTCCACAAATGCTCACTTTTGTCTGATGAGACAAAATTTAACTTTGCATTTTCTCACATCACTAAAGGCATTGGATTCTGAGGGGAAAAGCATAATGAGGAAGTGATAATGGAATATAACGAAAAATATCAGCTACCGCATGGGATGAAAGTCTTTGGGGATTCCATTCCCCGCTTCCTTAGTCCTTAAAATCATGGACATAATCCCTAAACTTCTCATATTGCAATAATACAAGGGTCGTTCAAGTGAAAGTGGGAATAATCCGGCAAACCAGAACCTTCAAGCACTTCTCGAAAGTAATCTCTACCAGCGTTAAGGCGCTTGCCCCAACGTGCCACAAGCTCAGTTAGCCTCGTAAAAGGATTGTGGCTGCTGGCAATACCGGCCCAATTCCACGGGTTGAGCCCCACTTTTTACATTGCTGATCTTTCCCATAGTTTTATTTTTTATACGAATACAGAAACAACGGAATCGATCCATCAAAGTTTACTCTCAATGACGTCACTGCAATCTCCCGCACATGAGGGAATTTTTATTTCTCTACCGGAGCCGCGTAGGCAAACCCGCAGGCAAAATTCATTCCCGAATATTTTATTGCTAAGGTTATTCGAATCTATAGAGAACGTGTCTCTATATGCCTCCGAGCCCATCAAATAGTAACAGCCCAAAAAGACATCATGCCATAGATGATACGTATTTTGCGAGCAAGAGCTCAATTTCATCTCTGGTCTTGTTTACACGCCTGCCACCTAATTATGAATCATTTAGGACGAAATTCAATCAATCACGACTGTTTAATTACTAATGGAAGATTTTCAAGTTAATGCACATTAAGTCATTGTTTCCTGCCCCTGATCCTGGTGGAACTCGCAATATAAATACTAAAAGCATTCTTTTGTAATTGCCTCAAACTATTTCTTGGGAAGTTTGCTAGATTTGAATACACATTAACAACTGTATTTTTATTTTGTATTTGAAATAAATCTTATTCCAGGATAATATTTGAAGCGTTCCGGAAACACTAAATACAACCTCCTGTCTGCTTCCGTTTCCCTCGATTACCATACATTTTCCTAAATCTCCATAAATATTGTCAATTTGAAAAATAATTTGCATTTGACTCAAGGGGAGTCGGAAGTCTGAGTTTGGCATATGAGGATCCGATGACACCTCGGATTCAGGGTGGCATCGACAGACCGACTTATTGCAGATCCTGACTTCGTGGGTAGCGGTGCTTTAGGGAAAAGGATCTGCTGGAGACTCATTAGGAAATGCCGCTTTGTGTCACGACATTACATGGATATAAAAACTATTTAAAAAAACTGCTTCGAGGTTCCTGTTCGCTGAGAGTCTGAGATGCCATAATGGTTAAGAAGAGGAATTCATCAGATTTATATCGAAAAAAAAAACCATGAAAGTAGTTAGACAGGATCAAGAACTAATTTGAGTTTCGAACAATAGTTTCCCCTTCCCGTGAATCAAATACTTCGGCATAAAGACGTGAAGACGCATTGATATAGTACACCCCACATGAGTTTCAATGAGATCCTGATATTTCATCAGAATGGATGAGAAGGGTATTGATGGTCAGTTCTAATGGATTCTTAGATGCATTGTTAATACTTTGTCGTGTCTCGTATTTTACACAGAAAAACATTTATAAGCAATTTTTGCATTTAGTATTTTAATATTGATGGAGTTGTGTTCAGTGTTTCGTGTTCGTATAATACGCCCACTTCCGCCATTGACGCTTCTAATAGCAGTTTCCGAACGCAACATGAGACATACCGCTTTCAAAGGCTAGACATGTAGTCGTTTTCACACGCTTGGTTAGAAAATACAGCATAATTTCCGTCTGTTTCGTGTCGTTACTCAGCTCATTTACAAGCTGAGAAGCATCTGAGCCGCTAAGAAGCTGAGCTTAGAGAGAAATAATTCTCTATTTATGAGTTGCAGGATACCTTATCGAGCCATAAGGAGGCCAGCACACCGTGCTTCCTTCCTTCCACTCATGCTCTTACGGTACTTTTACTCTCCATTCACCACAGACGCCGACCATTTTAATACCCGCTCCAATGGAAAGACATTCGTATGACTGAACAAGAAATCCTATAGTGGATCAAAATTTATTTTAAATATGGTTAGTGTAGCATATTGGAGCGGGAGAGAAAATGGTAATGCGCCACGCAGTCCATTAGCAGAAATGTGTGGGATCTCGTCTCCTATTGCGAGAAAACAGGACTTCTGGGTATAAAATTCTCTTCATCAATCACCTCATCTGGATTCACTCAACTGTAAATAACTGTAAATTCACGCATGGTGAATCCAGAATAATATTGCGAAATCGTTAAATAGTTTTTTATGCTTGAACCTCGCCTTTGCTTCATGTGATGATGGTGACATGAATTTGCAGAGTACTACAATTCACTAGGAGGGAAATTCATTAAATTGCTTGCTTTCAGGCACACTTACGGACACGGATGCTATGGTGTGCCATAAGAATTTTGCCATGAACGTGAATCGCATGAGAGGCTTTCCCACGTCTTCCCTATTCTTTCTCATTGCATACATACAGCGAACGGAGCATAAGGAGAAAGTGAAGTTCGAGAATCGCAGCACCATATGTTCCTGAATGCTCTGTACATAGGGACTTTATCCACAGTGTAATATTGAGAGGATCTGTCTGCAGATGGCATGTCGTCGCAGGTGACTTTTTCCTTGCGAAGACTAGCTACCTTTATCCGGGATTAGGATCCCTCATGATTCTCACCTCTTCTGGAATTTTTTCGCCTTTTGTCGTCCGTTTGGAGGCTTTCCGCTTTACCAAGGACGTGTTCCCGACGTTTCTCATCTCATTATTCGCCTCCAGATGCAGAGGTTTCATTATAATCTGGAGCGACAAGTAGAAGTGGTAGAATTTCTGGATAATTTCCAATCCGATAAGCCCTTTCGAGGAAAGAAGATTAGACAACAGTTTTTGCTCCTCAAGTTCGTCACATTATGAAGCCGATAGGGCACAAAGATTGCGACTCCAGTGCGTGTGAAGACTTGGGCGTCGCCCACTTGGTATCCGGGATGGGTCAAGAGATGATGGTATGTCCCGGAATCCATCGAGATGGGAAGCTGGATAACTTTCGGACGGAACCGGAGAGGCATCTTCTAATTGGCATTTCTGAGCGCGTACATCACAAGTCCATCAAGCACTAATAAATCTTGATTCGTCTAATGAGACCGACGCAGCTAATTGGCCATGACCCTCGATCTGTACAAGCCACCTCCCACTTCTCGTTGTCGAGATGTTTACCTCCTCCTTCTCCTCCCTTTCTCTCATCAATTGGGTTTCTCCTGTTGTCCTGATGGTATCGACCTCTGCAAACGATGAAGTCTGATCGATGCAGAATTAAAGTCTTTCAAGTCCATCAACATGGTTTTTTGTCCATCATCTTTGGAAAGCCGTATTTTCTCGTCATACCAGTTTTTCATAAGGGCACGCCATAACTATTTCTCCGGACATCCGAATGACTCCTCCTGCCTAGAAGGAAACTCCCTGTCTCCTCCAATGCAATCGTCACAGTTTTCACTCAAATGCCGAATCAAAAGGCTAACGCCGAGATTGCAACGAGTTTAGATCGACTCCTAGATGCTACGAGGAAAGGATCTACTTTTTAATCGATGAATATCCGAAACATCAGGGTGACTACAACCTGTAAATCAAGGAAAACTTCTGTTATATGAAGAGACAATGGAAAATTGGTCGTTATTTGAAGAGACAATAGGAAGTGACTCAAAATGCGGTAGTCCAACAACCTTCTAACAAGAGGACATATGCAGTAGTTTCTCCCGTTGTGAATTAATTATCCCACCCATTCATTCGTATACGGAGGAATGACATAAAACTATGTTTATGGAATTACAAGATTTTTTATATTTTAATTAAAGAGATGCATACAATCCTGGAAGTAGAAGCAGCATAGAAGTCTCACGGCATTGTTACTGCTTTTTCTTCCGCAGGAGAAGCCTCACAAATGCTCGCTGTGTTCGAAAAGCTTCCCGACGCCAGGGGATCTGAAGTCCCATATGTACGTTCACAATGGGTCATGGCCTTACAAATGCCACATTTGCAACCGAGGTTTCAGCAAGCACACCAACCTCAAAAACCACCTCTTCCTGCACACAGGTGAGCTTCTGCGGGCGGTCCCGCTTCTCCCAGACACAATAGTCCCTACAGGAAATGTCAGAAGACAACAAAGGGCTAATAGGGCACGCTGAATAACGCATCCGATTTGTACGTAAAACTCGACGGGCTCTTTTGCAAGTCGCCGACGCTCTATGTCTTTGAGGAGGAAAGGGTAGAGGGTTGGAGGCAATCAGGCGAGGATTGATGACGAGAGGAAGCACCCCCTCTGGTAGAAATCGAGAAACAAGGAATAAGTCACCCGAAAGACCGGGATCCCATAATATAAAAGCCGATGCTGGAGAGGAATAGGTAAGAGGCCTTCAGACTTCAGCGGTGAGGCTCAAAAGACCCCCATGGGGGATTTTGATCAAGTCTCAGGGGGAGCCTGTGCAGTCCCGGGGCGACTCCTTATTGGCCTGGTTTTCATCATCATCGTCATCATCATCTCCCATACATGCACCTGCATGTTCACCTTGAGCATCCCTTGTCTCCTTTTTTCCCTCTCCTGCTTCTTCTTCTTCTTCTTCCCCCTCTCCCCGCGTGCCGATCTCATGATCTCCCGAGTTTATTCTTCCTCATAATAGTTACATTATGCAATCGCCGAAGACCTCCTCCCGCGTTGAATATGAGTCCCGGCGCTGTACCTTCACCCAAGGGATTGAGTCCCAGATAATGGAATAGGTTTCAAACGTCTCATCCTGATGGTCGAAAATAGCGAGGACAAGGAGAAAATGGTGATGTTTAGAGCCTGAAGGGGCTTGTCCGTGTTGGCGCCATGGGTCCGCAAGGTACCTCCTCTGTAATCAAGCGAGGGAAAGAAGAATGGAAATCCCCTCATGAATTTTAATCTGTCCTTTTTCTCGCAACTAGAATGACCCGCGAGGGTGAAGCGACGTTCCTGGTCATTTAGGGTCCGAGATGTTTTTACGTTCAAAGGAACCATGTCGGCTCATTGCTTTCACGGTGTGAGCTACTCAGTTACACTTCCATGGGGGAAAATGCGCCATATGGACAGATTCTTGGCTATGGGTGCATGACGTGACACTTTCTCATGCTAATGAAGTCGAATTTTTGCGGGGAAGCATGGTGAATCGGACGAGTATTGTTTGGGGCGCGTGGCCATGATGTATCGATTTCATCTACATGTTAATTTAAAACGTCGGACGCGAACATCGCCGAAAATTCACGTTCAAGGATGCACGTAGATCCCATTGTCTCGTGTCTTTTCAGGTCTTCTGCCAGGATTCCTTCTGATGACTCAGAGACATAAACTTCTATAAAGTATCTGAACCACCAGAACCAGTGAGGCTATGGCCTGTGTCCTCGTATACATATATCAATAGGATGCTTTATCGCTTCGAGCAAAAAAAAAAAGGGAAGAAAGGGAATAAAGATGGTTAAAGTGAACGGCATCCCGCTATGAGCAGCTCTAGACGATGTAAGAAAAGCTATGCTAATGAAAGGTAGACCTACCAAGTAGATATAAGGGAAGAAAAAAACGCGAAGCAGATCCATGCTACGCGATAATGACAGCGATTCAAGCGAAGTGGGAATGGTCATTCAATCAGGGTCTGTTTTTCAATGGTCCCATTTCTGTGTGCGAGTGTGATTGTAAGTGCCCGGGCCTCAGGTTCATGCCTGAAGGAGTTTTACCCCCCTTGGCCTGGCCACTGGATAACACGTGATTAATCGAACATCCCATGCGTGGGAAAATACCTTACTGGAAGACAATGGGAAAACGGGGACATTATTGAGTAGCTCCTGCAGCATAAGCCACCCCATGCCGAGCTTCCCTATCACAATATTTTTCATATAGAGAAGGGAAATTTTCCGCTCTCGCAAGGACACCGATTCCATTCGATTCGCTGCATGACGCTTTCGATAACATCCCCCCCCAATCCTTACAAGGTTACCTCATAGCCTACCACCTACCTGGACATGGTCACCCCCTCGTGCTAATTACTCCCTTCATCTGCGCATTAATCTGTTCCACCTGTTTGCGAGGGGAAAAAGAAAGTAGGGTGGTAGATAAATATACGGTCGAGGACGCAATGCGGATCTTCCAGGAAATCCTCATCGGCTTTCTACAAGAGTGAGAGGAGACAAAAGAAAGGAGCAGTCGGGACCCCCTAGAACCAGTCAATTAGAGGGTGTGAATGGCGTGAGAAGAAAAGTACATAGCCTCAGGGGTCTCGGAATACATAGAATACGGACCATTGCATTATCGGTTCCGTATCGGTCGATCAACACCAAAGATATATCTCGGGTTTCCGCTCGATGAGCGGCTAATCAGACCAGGATTGGCCCGCTTCGATGATAATAATGAAGATGATGATGATGACACATAATGACATAATGAGCAATTATCCCCACAGTTGGGAAATCTCGGGCTCATTAGGAAAAGTGTCTGACCCACTGTCTAATGGGAGACGTGTGTTGGGACGTGGGTCTCAAGTCAAAGGTCATCGTATGAATCGCTCCCCCCCGTTTTCTCGCCACTCAATCAGGTCATTTCCCGTCACTACTTCTTAGCCTCAAGCACAGAGCAGCTGATTTCTTTCGCCCCTGCACCCTTTTTGGTCGGATCCGCTCAAACGTGAAAGATGATGCCTGCAAGAGTTGGACATTCCTTCGGCAATATCACTTCCGCCTCCGATAAGAATGACGAAACTTTATCCCCTGAGGTGCCGCTTTATTGTACCGTGCCTGAACTGCGAAGAATACCTGTCGGATGCATATTGCACAGTGAGTACGCATATGCAGCATAAAAAATAGATGGATTCACGTGCAAATAGGAAATGATTACGGGGCTGAAGGGCATACGCACGGCTGTCCATCAAAAGAGGCCTTCGAGTTTCGCAAGCCTTTGTCTGCGTCGGGATGAGGAGAGGCAAGAAGTGCTATTTCGTGATATGCAGATGCAAGCGAATAGGAAAGAAAAAAGGAAAGCGTCAGCAATAAATCCCAGGTTCATTCTCGCTCACCGGGAGACTCATAAATAAGTCACGATATCAATCCTACTCCCGCTTTTATAAATACCTTTAAAAGAAACAGGGGCATGGACTTTAATGGATGATATTTCACAGATGGGAGCCCATGAATATCATGCACGTATGTTTCAGCTGAACATAATGGCGTGGTACATTAGGAAAGAAAAAAGCCTGTCGACACTGGTGGCCTTTGAGGATGATCCCCGACTTTTGCGCCACCCCAGAGGCCCGGGCCTAGCCCCCATGGCTTGTCGAGTGACAGCGCCATATGGTCCGATTAGGGGATAATGATCCATGACCAAGCTTGATTCTTTTTCTTTCATTTCCCTGTGCAATTATATCATAGGGGAGACTAATAAGGCGTGGATGATTCAGATGTCGCTGTAGTCGGCAGTGCACGCAAGTCTCGTCGAGATGACACATTATGGCCCATTAGATGCTCTTATTATTCTTCTAAAAGCGCTTATTATTGCGAGTGGATTCTTCCTGTAATAGCACACCTTAAGCCAGCTGGTTTACATATGAGTGACAAAGGAGACCCTAAGGCAGAGTACTAATGCATTTTCTTGGTGCGAGGCTTCAACGCCCGGATCCTTATTGAACTGAATCATCCTCATTTCCCCGTCGGGAAATGTGGGTGCCTCTTCCCGTTATTCACGAGTGACCTGCAAAATTACAATGAACTTCAATATCCGTTCAGGAGCACCGTGGTACTCTCATCGCACGAGGATCGGTTCTGGCGCGTGTGGGAAGCTCCTTTGATGGAGGAATCTGAAATTCTAATGGGTCAAGGAATCGCCCATCGGAGGCTATTGTTCCCAATGATAGTGGAATAAAGCCGGCCACTCACTCACTCACTGACTCTTATGCATGAGAGAAGCGAGCGAAGTACATGGGATCCCTTGTCAGATGCTGAAGACCGATAACTGGCCTTTTTTACCCCGCATTCATATGCATGGATATGAACAATATCCTTCTACCCTCTGGAGGATGGGTGTAGCTGCTACTCCGAAAGGCAATCCCTCATACCGCTGCATATATACTCAGATGGAGACGTATGCCAGTGGCTACATCTCTATAATTACACGGTGCCATTCCACGCCTGACCATAATTGGAGCTAAACGCATATTGTGCCTCTTGGCCGCCGGCATACATTTGCATGCCATTTATGCAAATCCCACGCAATAACTCAGAACCGGGAGTCTAATTACGCATGCAAAAGTCTCCGCTCCTAATTTTGTAATTGGCGAAAGTCGAGATTTGAATGATAATCGTTTTGATCCTGGCAACTGCGCAGACTTAAATATGCAGTGGTACTGACCACAACTGCAATCATTTCATACTTGGAAGCCTCGAACTCTTGGAAGTGGTCTAGAATCCGGAAACGACATATCCTCGTGGTGGGACAATGACACTTCTGATGTTGCCCAGGTTGAAAGGCAGGGTCAGTGTCTGGAGGGCGAATATTTTTTTTCTTTCGTATATAATGCAACGTCTCAATGTTGAACGTGCGTGGACGGGATCGTTTGAAGTGTGATCGAATGGAGTGTCATGCAGAGGAATAATGCGCATTCCATGTTTCACCGTGTCATCCCAGAACACAACATCCTCCTCTCTCATTGTCTAGTTCCTTTCTCATTATCACATGCCCTACTGTCTCCTGGATTTACATCCACGCCGTAGATAACCTCTCGCGTCATTTACCTCCCACGCAGAGTGAGACCCACATTCTTCATACATTTCAAACCTGTCCCATATCAGTGATTCCTCTCAACAGCTGAATGATAGGCGTTATCAGTCTATGCCTCATCCATCGTAGATTCGGAAATCCATTGAACGACGAAAAAACCAAAGGAAAGTGTTATGGGGGTAAAGCTCGACTGCGCCAGGGTGCACTGGTCATGCATGGGGTCAGCCATGTAATCTCGATAGATCTGAGCTGAAAATTGAGGTAAGTAAGGAGGCAAGGCAACAGTACAAGCGTATTAACAAACCCCGAAGCAAGCCATCCATCGCTTATGGTGCATGGAAGCCCCATCTCAAGACAACATGATCCATTATGCAGATGCTCCCCTTGGGCGAGGCTCAGCTACTGGAAACGTGAATATTGACTCAAAAATCTTCCTATACATGTTTACGCCATGCAACGTTCATTTGGGACGCTCTTATCTACGAACTCCTGGCTCTCGGCTCTTTCTCATCAATCCCCCTTGGCTGGAGCATAATTGACAGACATGTTTTTCTTGTGATCCGAATCATAAATCTCGAATCTTCGGCTCATTAACGCTGGAGACTTGCGCGTTCTTTTTCCGTCGGATATGCGTTGATTTCGATCGGTATCGGAGATGGAAGGAAACAGGTTCCTGGCCGAGAGGTCACGTCCATACCAAGTTCAAGGACTGGTTCGATACCATCATCAAGTGCAGGGAACTGGATCTGGTAATGAGCTCGATCCACCACCGGGTGACAAACCCAGCCCTCCCTCATTCTTTCCATTAGCCGATGCCTCTTCAATCCAGATGTCAGCGCTGTTGAGGATGCATTCTCTAGGCTTGGTGCCACCTACTCTCACTCGTTAGTGGCGTGGTGGGGATGGGAATTCAATACCTTGAACTTGTACTCCTTCATTAAATGAATAAGCGTAAAATTGTTCGATGTTATTTTCAAAAATTCTTGAAACGATTGAGAAACCCACTAAGCATTCCCAGAGCGGAGGAACCCCTTTCCATGCTTGTCATGTTTCGAAGAGGGAAGAAGGTGCTATTTCGTCAATGGACCCCCTCGAGTATTCACCTGCCGTGATTACAGGGAGCTGTCTTCGATGAATGCGCTTAAAAGCAGCTGCCAGAACCATTGTCCGAAGTCGCCGATAGGTGATAGGATCTCCTGAGAGATATGCGCTTTCAAAATCCTTGCCACGCCCACTGTCAGGTCTCCCCGTCCAATATTGATCCATTCCTTCCATCGTAAGGGATTTCAACCCTCTAAAGTGACAACCATAGAGCCCATTTCTTTGAGTGTCCGTCCAAGCAATTCCAAATGAACCGTTGGATTCCCCTTGAGATGGCCTCGTTCTTTTCTCGGCCTCGATAAATATATATATGATATTGCGAATATTTTCTTGTTTTACGCACAGCGTAGACACACCAAATTATTCATGCAGGGTAGAACCATAATCTTTTCTTTTTATCATTCTCCAAGTTGACTTTCCTGATGTACTTAATTCTGCATGCGGTATAATGCTGTCGTCCTTGGATCAATGGCTCTAGGCAAGACCCACGATCACAACGAGTTTATCCGGGTTTACCCGCATGCACATGATCTGTGGGAGGAGACTATTGATCTTTATGGCGGTAATGTGCAATGGCTATTAGGCGAGAGCCTTTTATTGTGCATTGTTGTTTGCGCCTTCCAGGCGATGGGAAGAAGCATGGAAGTCGCCTTATCTCACGAGGGAAATACATTAGCCCTCTTTCGCCCCCCTACCCACCATTGACACAATGCATGTGGAGGCGGCGGCTCCGAGATTCCCCCGCTAAAAAGAGGGATTCCCCTCCTTGTAATATGCTCACGGGTATTTTCGATGCTACTGCTGTAGCACGGGTCATTCAAAAGATTCTCTCTTTTTGGGCCATCGATTGCGGCAATCGTGGCATTCATCGAGATCCTCATTTTGCGTCGGCGGGAGGATCTACTTGAAATTCATTGGCGAGCACGGCGTGATAAATGAAGCAGAAAAGATAAATAATTGCGAAGCCAAAGACGGCAGGAGCAAGGAATCCGAGAGGATGCGGGTGCTGGAGGTTTTTTTCCGTGACAAGCCCCTATTAAGGGGCGAGGAAACTTCACGTAATGCACAGAAAGGTGATTGCTAGCAATTAGGCAGTGATTAAGGTCCGAGATTCGGTAGCGTCTCGTCTTATCAAAGCATGGCATCGGACGAGCATGAGGAAAAGCCTCAGGCGACACCTTCTGGGGCCTCCTGGCTAATCAACGACTCCAACCCTGTAATAAGGCTCGATGCAATATGATGTGCCCACATACCAGAGCTCAGACCGACTGGATCTAACTGCATCTTCTCCCTATTCCCCTGAATGATTGCTTGAACCGCCGGCTGAAGAATGGGAGCACACCCCTATCATCCTGATGTCGTCAATCGACACCTACAAATGCGAGAGGAGAAAAATATCGAGGGGAACAAAGCACGGATTCTCAAAAACTAGATTTCCGGCCTAGAGAATAACTATATGGTACCGGTTCTCCAATTTACTGGTTTGTTGCAACATTAGGGCTGTCCTCTTGATCACTGACACTTATGAGCTGGAGGATGGCTTGACTCGGACGTGAAGGAATCCGAGGATGGGTAGCAGCTGCAATCAGATACAGGCCTAGAGTTCACGGATGAAAGGGGTCGGGAGGCATTGAAGCATGAGTTGATTTGAACAATGTATCGGAGGATCGAAACGAAGCGGAAGATGGAGATCTGATCACGCACGCGGTCACGTGCAATCGGCTCTTCGCCGATTCTTCTTCGATTATCTCCCTCAAGCCAAATAGGTTCCGGATGATGGAGTGGTTTGTAGCACGGGAGCAGAAAATTACAGTATTTCATCATATTTTCTCTCTCGCCCTTTTCGCTCGTGAACAATCGGGCATGGTTTTCTATCGCTGCTAAAGACAGGGCTGGAGTCCGACCTCCATCTTCACGGGTCGGCGATTGTGCCCGGAAAAAGCATTACTCCACGACCTACCGAGCACCGAAAGGCACGAACCCAGATATGATCTTCTACGAGCGTTCTCCGAAGGGAACTGCCATGTGCCTCTATTCTCGGTCATCCCGCCTTTAAAACGCCGCGATAATTTAATTTATACGTGCTCGTAAGAGAGAGGATTCTCAAGTTCTGTGAAAGTTAACCCATCACGTGTTGGCAATAAATGATCTGGCAGGAGCTACTGAATCTGCAGGAGAGAACTAAGTAGATGGGTAGAGAAGGAGATGACTTATGGATGTTGGGAGTTCATACATATCCCATCCCACGCGCGCTGGCCCGCCCTTTATTAATTGCCCGTGTGTCTAAATCCTCCTCCCTCGACCCGCGACTTATCGCTCCGCTACAAATGGAGTTCTTGGTTATTGATTGCAAACACGAACCTGCCCTTTTTCCTTGTAATATGACAATCTGTTCCATCCGGGCGCCAATTCATCTAATAAACGCATTTTACTGGTACTTTGTTTCAGGTGACAAACCACATGCCTGTGAATTATGCCACAAGAAATTTGCCCTTGCCTGCAACCTCAGGGCTCACATGAAGACCCACGAAGGTAAGGGAAAATGACAACGTCATATAGCCAGACTAGTTCAGAAACAGTTGAGAAACCAGGAAAACTAATGAACTTTACTTTTGCAGGTGACCCTCAAGAGGAATGTGACCAGTGCGGTCGAAGCTTCCTGACAGCGTCTCAACACCTTGTGCACGGCTTTTGTGCAGACTGTCTTCCTAGTGACAAGGGACTTGCCTTGGTTAAGGATCGATCGACTCCCCAATCCGTGGAAGTCAAATGAAGTTCAGTTTCAACGAGTATATGTTACATAATGAGTCCAAGATTCACTATTTAAATAAGTATGTCTATGTCTATCTTTCACTTGAAAGGGTGTCAGGTGAAAGCTTTGAGCTCCGTCCCAACTGCCAGTACACCTTAAAAGTCGCTGTCTGAAGCACACAAATCATGTACTTGATGTAAATACGGAACGAGTTCTATCGAATCGAGTTGGGTGCTAAGGTGAGGAACCTGATCGATAAATGGAACCCCTGTGGGTCCTACATAGGTTCCCACCTCGATCGGTCTGGGTCTCTTCATATCAGACTCCAGGGGTCTTCCGGTATGGATTAAGCCTATTCTCCCTTTTAGCTATCGAGTGAAGGTGATCGTAGGTGCATGCAATCTCCAAAATGCACTAGTGCCCTTCTGTGTACCTGTACTGTACAACTTGTTTCTTTTTCCCTCCATTTTGCCTTGTACCAACTCGAGCCAGCTCCTCGAGAGCGGTTCTTTGAATTCCGTTTGCCATAACAGAAGACAACCGGAATGGTGCCAATGCCAAGTGCCTTATATTTTACGCCACGCAGGCTGGTGCCATGCAGAGTTTATTATTATGTATATCCTCTGACTGTCACACAGTCTTTTTTTTATTATCATGCGAGTGCATTTTTGAGGGGATCTCTGATTATAAGCGGTTCTTCCATTTCGCAAACGACAGTTCAATATACAATATCTTCTATGTTGAAAATATACTGATATCTCCGGGGAATGACCTCCTTTCCCTGCAAACTCTAGTCAAACATGACAAAGATTTTTTATATCATTGCTGTTATTTGAACTGGGATTTTCTCTTGTTGATGCTATGATGTGAAGAGAGAATCCAATTAGAAGCGTATAGAAATAAATGTTTGTTTCCCCAATCCCTGCCTTGCTTTCTTCGCTCGTGCATCTTCGAGGAGGCTAATTACCACTTTTTACGAGAGCCTCTTACATACCATAAATAGCAGTCTGGGAGCACAGGTCAGGTAGTGTTTCGATGGGTCTATGACCTAGGGAATGGTAGACCTATCTATCATGGAGGGATATCACGTAATATCAGAGCAGAGCATCGGGCCTGGCTCCACGGAGAATATGGGCGCCGAAATTCACCCGAGGCACACAGACACATCGGAAGAAGAAGCCCTGCGCTGCTTCTATTCATTATAGCCTGCCTGCCTACCACATACATCCACATTCTTAGCTCGTTTTTTGTAATCTCCTCCTCTCCTTCAGATGAGATATTATCTCGACTTGCCCTAGGATTTTCCCACACTCTCAAATAGGATTATCTACGGGAGAAGACCCCGACATGTCCTTGAATGCATTGGAACTACCTCCCGATATAAATGATATCGCGATTTCATCTGCCGGCTGTTCGGCACTTTGTTGCATTGATCGTAATGAGCTCATGAACAAGCCCATGTATTAGGAATTCCTTTGGGAAACTTCTTTCCCATTCTCTGCAGAGGTAT